GTCATCTGACCTTTCTAGTTTTAGTGTCAATCACCGTTAAGTCTTGTAACAAGTATCATACTGAAACCACGATTAAAAATACGAATCGTAGAGATCTAATGGATAGAAAAACTTCATGAAGATCAACAAAGATTCTAGAGAATCGTAATAAAATAAAATTTCTAGTTTAAAAATAGAAATTATTAAAAATACGAATCGTAGAATTTTCTAATGGAGAGAAAATATGAAACAACCGTCTGTTAAAACCGATTTTTGTCATCTATTAACGGGGAACACGTGAATGACAGCAGAGAAAGTATATGAACCGTTAATTTAAGCGGCTCACGCAATGGCATTCCTACAGCATCGTAACGCTTTCTGAGCCTTCCACCTAAATAATATGTAACTCGCCTAGATATGCATATACACACTATAGTTGTTTCTCTTTTGCACGATGCTTAATTACTTATTTCTACGGCCATTCATAATCAGAATTCGTATTAGCGGACGTTTGCTTGGATTTTCTATGTGTTACGAATCGACGACAACGAACGATTCATTCCGTGTTTTGTAATCAGGCGATTATGAATTTGTCGAGTTCGAAATTCCACGGACGGTGACTTATCGCTGAACACGTGCAAATTTTTCGTAAGGTGGTTGTGTCGCGAAATGTCTAATTAGAAATTGCCACGATGGTTATGAACAAAGTTTGACGGAAATATTTTATCGTGTAACTTTGTTGTTTAATGAAGTTGTTTGACAAAATTGAATATTTTGAGGAAAAAATAATTTGTTGAACGTTTTGTGCAATTTGATGAATGTCAGCAGAAATTTGGCGCGTAAACGATCAAGAAAATAAAAAACATTATATATCAAATAAAGTAAAATACAGTTAAAAATTTAGATGATAAAAATGAGAAGATTAAGTTAAACTTGAATTGTTTGAAAATTATTAATTATGCAAATTTTTGTATATGAAAGAAAATAGTATTAAACTTATACATCAAGGTTTTGAGTATGACATAATACTAATTTAATTTGCAAATGTAAAATTTAGAATACAATTTGTTCGCGAAAAAACTGCTATGAATATTAATTCAGTTCATGTATGTTCAATCACTAATTAATTGATCTTAATGAATTGCGACAGGTTGCTATTAATTTTAAATAATAACCAGGAGTAGTATATGTCCAGAAACGTTTTTCAAACGTTTTACAGTCAACGTTTTATATTACGTACGGGTTGTACTAGTTAGTATTATATTACATAATCAACTTGTAAGTTTAATAGTCAACTTAATATCGTCAATTGAAAGATATGTAGTAACTGACTACATCTTTTTTTTAAGAATAATATCCACTGACTAAATATATTTATAAATATTATTTATCTATTGTATCTTAAATACCAACTAAAGATATTTACCTATTGCGTCTTAAATAATACGTTACTATTATTTCTAACAACTTATTGAATGTTGAAGATCTGTTCGAGGAACGACCATTTTCGCAATAACCCAAAAGTTCTTACTTTCAGAATTTCAAGGATTTAGCCTGAGGAGGCTGATCAATCGAACAAACTGTAAACAGTCGTGTAAACTTCGGGGAAAACCACCGTCAACAAACAATTCTCCAAAATAACACTTTTCAGAGCCAAGTTACTTTGAAAAATTTCTTGGATCATTCAAACTTAGTAAAATATTATCATGTTTACTTTGAACAATACCTTAGAAAACCTTTTATTTGAAAAATTATCTTTGGAAAATTTGTAACTCAAATCTTTCCTCTGTCAATACCCTCAGAAAATCTCCCCTTCACAAAATTTGAAATTCTGCAAAATTATGCCTACATAAATTTTTAACTCTGGAAAATAGTACCAAAATCATTGCCTTCGAAAATTTTACTTGAAACTCTATTACCTAAAAAATTCGTAAAGGTAGAAAGTGTATATCTTTAGAAATGTTCCAACATCTGTAACTCTTCTATGATTCTGACATTCACGAATGTATCTCGTTAAAATACTCAAGCCTCAGATGTCAATATTTTTAAACTGAAGAATTCTAATTTTCGTAGTATTTCTAGTTCTAGAAAAGTTCTAGAAAAGAAAGCTTAATTCATTGACGATATATAAAATGACAAAGCATATTACGTCAATCCAGCGGTCGTAGGTTTCAGTTCCTTCGGCGTATCCTCCTTCGTCGATTCATCCTTCGTTGGCTCCGTTTCCGCGTTCATTTTCGATATGCCAGCCATTAAGTTGTCCGAGCTCTTCCAGATCGGGTCCTTCTCCGTGCTTTGAGCCAATACGAATCTTTTCAGTCGTCTCATTTCGTGGACCCCTTCTATTCACTCTCGTCTACACCCGGCAAGATCTCGCTACATGTACTTCTGCTACACCTTGAAACTGTAGAATCCGAGATCTCTTACGTAATCTCTTAATTGTCCTTATTTTGTTAACTCCTGATGCTTACGTCGTTTTAAACTACCCGATGTCGGTACTCATCAACTTCTTCTTACTTTATGCAAATGCCAGCAATTCGTTTTTCCTGTTTTCAACAGAACGCTTCGGAGAACGCGTACGTATAACTGTTTTATTCGAAATCAACGTATATCACGCACTTCTCCTTTTTAAACCAGTCCGAGGCATTGAAATCTCTGCTCTTGTAACGTGTATTCTCGAGTATTTATCTTTCCAGTTGGTCTTTCGAATTATTGTACGCTCCTTATCACTTCTTTTTGAACCACTTCGGCATTCTTTGAAAACTTGTGAAATTTTTATTTGATACATTTTGGAAAGCGGGACATTTTTGTTTTGAAATATTTACTATGCAATGCATGGATTTTAACAAATTTTTTCTGTGGACAGTTTTTATTTTGACGAACTTTTACTTTGGAGAAATTGTATCTTGATAAACTTTTGTTTGAGAAAATGTCTCTCTTAACAATTTCGTACTTCGGAAAACATGGTAAAAGGACACAAGGTAAAATTTGTATTTTTCAAATCAGAAAATTGTTGCAGAGATTATAAACTTGAACAAGTAAAATTTACATGAAAATTAGATCTACAATTCGTGTCAATAAATGTGAATGAATGAAATTGTTTGATTACTATTTAAGCTAAATCGCGTACTTCGAAAAATGTTCGTTCAAAGAACTTCGAGTAATCAGAAGTTGTAGCAGTTCTTTAAATTATGCAGTTATTCCTTTCTATACCGTGGTTTTCTCTTCGACCAATATAAGAGTTAGAAATCTTCGTTTCTAAGATGGAATGTCCGGAGTGAAAATGAAACGAAATCGAGTCCAGCATTTGTATTTCCTATTTCCCAATCGATTCTACATTCTTCTAAATAATTCGAATCGGTGACGAAATTAACATTCATGAATAATTACGTTTAATCGAAACTTTACGTTCATTTCAAACGTAATTTCGATTGAAACACGATCATAGCCCGAATTTCACATAGTTTCTCCACAAAATGGTTAGACTCGCAGGTATCTTCTTCACCAGGCACGAAAAACATCGTGACGTTCAAACATCATTAACATTGATGAGATTACATCAGGATAGCAGAAATCAACGTCAGTATGGACTTTCAACGCAAATTACCAAGTTTTTCATTCATCTTCTAAATAATACGCCATCGACTGCAGTTATTAACGCACTGTTGAGGCGAATTCGACGATAACGGTTGTCGTTAATCCAACAGCTGATTCACTCGTTGAAACGTTTTGGTGCTCGAAACGCACGTTGTCTCGTTGAAAGTTTCATTGGTGTACGAATCGGTATTGTAAGTCAGAGAGAATGACAGATATTCGGAAGGTTAAAGGATTGAAATTCTCGTCTTCTATTCTCGGATGACTCGTGGTCACTGACAAGCGGCACAAGGTAGACGATACCTTTCATCCAACGTTTCCCCTACCTTTGTTGGTAACTCGTTACTCGAGGAAGTAACGTTGGGCAAGAAAAACGATCAAGGCATGCACCGATATTATTGCCTGATTCTTTTTGTTCCTTCGTTACCGCTGTTTACGTTTCCTAGAGCTGATTACGTTCGTTTACTCGGGCACAACTTTTGAATACTAATAAAATGATGACAGTAGAGAAAGTGGTTTATATGAGCTACCTTTTATTTTAGAATGTATTGTCTAGATTAATACCTTTCGTTTGTGGTGTGACATTCAACTAAACTCAACAAAAGTAGCGGAAGTAAATGACTATCTCTATTTTAGGATATATTGCTCTATTTTAGGATATAGTGCGTTACTATCACAACGTATGTACATTTCATGGTATACAGTTAAAATAAGCTAAATAAACGGTTTGTGTATTTAAAATAAAAATAAAATTGTTCATTTTTAAAAGAGCGATGTACTCACAGGTTACTTGCACAATAATACAGGGTGGAAGTAGAAATGCATATTTCGAAGTTGAAATATTTAAGAAATATGTGAGAATGCTGATAAGATAAACTTAAATGTTGGTGGTTAATTTACCATTATCGTGAATGTGCATTTAACGTCTAACAGGTCGTGCGTATAGCATGAAAACTGTTCGTCAAAGTTGCACTTAGATTTTAAGTATACCTTACAGTAATTATGGATATCTGGAAATATATAGGGTGTCTCAAAACTGGTGTCGGTCCTTGAAATGGAGGGTAGCTGACGTGATTCTGAATAAAATTTCCCTTTGCAAAAATGGGGTTTGAAGCTTCGTTTTTGAATTATTAAGAAAAAACACGGACCAATCAGAGCGCGAGAATTACGCGCGCTCAGCCGCTAGGTTTGAAGCTGTCGCTTTCGCATCTGAGCGCGCGTAACCTCACGCCCTGATTGATCCGTGTTTTTCACTAATAATTCAAAAACGAAGCTTCAAATAATTAAAATGAGTGGTAGTTTACGTTTAAAGTTCTTGTTTATATTTAATCATTTGTTAAACATAACAAAAAATTTGCAACGAAATAAAAGAACAAAAGATGAGTTCAAATGGATTATAAAGTGGGTCAGAATGTTCAACACTTTCTTTTTTTTCCTCTTTTTTTGTAATACCGTATCATTACATAATCTTCCGATGATTACGTTACATATTCCTATTACCTTTAACGTATTAAAATATTTTAATCACAAATGCACGTCATTTTATCGCTCATTTACAATTTAAAACAGCGGAAAAACTAAAAGCATAGTCGAGATCGAAGTCCTTAGTTCTCGATATTCCGATTGATTTCAGTTTATCCGTTAAATTTCATGCCGACCTTACTCGTAACTATTTTTACGATGTGATGTAATCGTTTATGTAATTAGGATATTGATTATTCTCAAACATTTGCAAATTCCAAAATTTCCAAATTTCTGAATGATAACTATACAGCAAAGGGCCTCATCCATTTTAATGGCCTTGCAATACGTTGTCACAGAGAACATTATGAAACAATTTTCCCTATAATCATAACAGTTGCAAGGCCTTAATTTCATATATATTTGTAAAAAATATGAATTAAATTTACATTTTAATTAACATGTGCCATTACATATCCATTACAATACCGGTTTGTTTTCTTCCTAACGTATACTCAAGTACACAATATTCAAATAGTCAAACGAGAACAGTGATACACTAAGAAACATCATATTTAATATTAAGAACATCAAAAAGTAATGACATAGCAAATAAATATCAATAAAATATGCTACACTGAATATTTTAGAAATGAATTAAAGATGATTATTAAGATAATTAGAAACTGACGAGACATTCTCTCTAAAATTACCAATAAATTATCAGATCTAAATTCCAAATTTCTACAGTTCAAAAAATTCTAAAGTTGAAAATTTATTAGTAAAAAATGAACAAGAGATGGCTCTTTCTATCTGCCATTTTGTCGACAGAAGATCACCATGCTCGCCAGTGTACGCACATATAAAAAACGAAATAAGGAAGCTCGAGTTACGGGAACTTCATACGATAGAAACGTAAACGCTCGTGAATATTCAACGACATTGAAACGTGAAGTGGCTGAAATTCTCTGCACACGTAAATGAAAATGTTTTACGATCATACGTTTACCAATGGACGTTTACTTAGGTCACGTCGAACAAAACCAGAGAATTAAACATATCAGCAAGATAGAACTGAAGCTGTCATCAGATTCACCGTTGTTCTAATATTTGATTGAAACAACGGAAAATAAACTGCTAAATACATAAACTGTTACGAACTGTGTGAAAATGAATTGGCCATGATTGTTCTTGATCGAATTTGGGAATTTGGGGGTTTGAAGATTTAGGGATTTGGAGATTTGAAGATTTGGAGGTTTAGAAAATTTGGGAATTTAGGGGTTCGAAGATTTAGGGATTTAGTGGATTTGAAGATTTGGGGGTTTGAAGATTTGGGGATTTGAGGATTTGGAGATTTGAGGGTTTGGAGGTTTGAAGATTTAGGAATTTGAGGATTTGGAGATTTGAAGATTTGGAGGTTTAGAAAATTTGGAAATTTAAGGGGTTTGTAAATTTAGGGATTTAATGGATTTGAAGATTTGGGGATTTGAGGGTTTGGAGGTTTAGAAAATTTGGGAATTTGGGGCTTTGAAGATTTAGGAATTTGAGGATTTTGAGATTTGAAGATTTAGAAAATTTGGAAATTTAGGGGTTTGTAAATTTAGGGATTTGAGGATCAAAAGATTTGAAAATTTCAAAGTTTAGGACTTCAAGAATTTGAAGATTTGTAGACTTGGGAATTTGGAAACATTACTTCAGAAATTCTGGAATTCGAAGACATGAAAGTTCGTCAATCTTCCTATTAAAAACTCGTTTCCCCCAAAAAACAGTACCTGTTCATAAAATGTCGCATACTCACAACTTCCTAATATCTCGAACAAACCGTATTGTCGGTAAAAAAAAAGATGTGTAGAAGGGAAGAAAAATCACCTGAGTCGCTTTCGACGTTCGACCAAGCCTGGCATGAGATTCTGCTGCGCCTGGTTAATGCCCATATCGCTTCCTTCGGATGGGAAGCTATCCTCAATCTCCAATTCCTCGGATGGATCGTTGTCGGGTCCACCGACGACGAAGCTTACTGGATTTTCCGACATGGTGATCGAATTAACCTGATCGTTCTCGTGATCCTCTGTCGGTCCTTGTTTTCCTGGACCACTGTCTACGCGCTCGGCGTTACCTTCAAAACAGTGGATAGGTTGTGCGTTTCAACATCAGCCAGTTTCGACGTCGATCGAAACTACCGTACGCGTGTCCGCTGACGTTTTCCACGATAATTACAAGTCGCGTTCTCCCCGTCTACGATTCAGACGCGTTGTTCAAGGGTGATATGCAACGAGGGCCACTCGCTATCTTTTAATTCTAGCAAAATTTCCTCGAATTTTTAGTTCTTGCGAGTTATCTCGAAATGAACTTTTATAGGTTGGGTTTGGTTGGTTAGGTTAGTTTATGGAGGCACAAGGAGAGGTTACCGATTTGGTTGAAACTTTGCACACTTACAGATCTTGTACACATTAATACTACATATATTGTTGCTGCACTTAATAATTTTTTAAACTAGAATATTTTTTAATAGAACTTCGATTATAAATTTTAGAAAAAAAAATTGTTGAGTATCTGTTCAGTAATGGTACATTCAGAGATCTACAAATATACAAAGCTTCAGCTAGATCAGTGACACAAAGACCTTGCCCTTATAAACTTAGGCTTAGGACTAAATTAGATTACTTTAGGACTGAGCTCAGACTTAAGACTACATTTTAATACATTGAATCAAATTAGGTTCAGTTACAATCAGCTCACATTAAGTTAAATTAAAGTTAATATATTTTGTTAGATTAGGTGAGAAAGTTGATACATTTTTTCGTAATATATTTTTAATATATTTTGTGAGATTACGTAGAATAGAATCAATGTTATGTAAGGTTAATCTTAGACGTCATAGTAGATGTACTCTAGGTATGATAGGTATACTAGATTAGGTTGGGATCAAAATTGAAGCTACGTTAGATAAATTGCGCTAGTCAGATTTAGATAACAAGTGCGTTGTACAGTCTCATAACCGAATAATTTTTATTTAATTTCGAAACTTTGACGAGTGGCCCCCAATTAGCGTATCGTGTGAGCTTCAACCAAACGATTGCAAAACCTCCCTGAGAGATGTAGCCGTGATTCATGCGAGATAAGCCAAACTCATGCAGTTCCTAAGCGTTTTCCTGCCAGAAGATTCCTGTCCCAAATTTTTGAGATTTCTTAATCCCAGAGATTGACGTGTGCGAGTTGTCCCGATTCTCAAGAACCCAATTTCCAGGTAAAATTGGGCGAGATTTTGATTTCGATTTCTGAAGTTTTCCAAACGATTCCGAATTGGCGGAATCTCGCACACTTTTGTGAAGAAAACATGCAACATATGATGCAAAGGTATGATGTGCAGATGAATCACCTGAAGATAGGAGAATGATCGAATAAGGAATTGCTAATCGATGGTAATTGATGAATGTCAATGACTGAATCAGTCGGAGAAAAGTTACTAGTTTACAAATAAGTGTTCACGTAACACTGTTACGTTAACGGTTATGAATTTTTTCGACGTAACGAGCATTGTTTTTTTACGTATAAAATCACGTGAGTTAGAAATAAAGGCCTTTGTGACGAAACATCGAACGATAAAACTTGTAAGTATATATTACGAAACGACTTTTTGAGAGAACTGTTTAAGTGCAATCAATAACGACAAAAGAAATGTGTACTTCTAATTTTAACTTCGAGTAGTTCTGTTCGGAATGAAAATTTTTCTTTCGTAAGATACAAGAATGACTGATTGTTTGATATCTGACATTTTTTTAAGTAAGTACAACTAAAAAAAAAGTGATTTCATAAAATGAAAGTTAGTTCCACATACTTTTATGAATGATATTAGTAACGTTGTTTTAACCCTTGGGGGTGCCTGAGTCTTCTTTAAAATCCCACTAATCGTAAAACTACGAAAGCCATTTATAAATCTAGCTTGCTTCTAAAGCACTTTGGTGTGATCTTAGAAGCGAACATGCACATTTCTGTCAATCCCTGT